CTGGAGATCTAAAGAGAGAAGCTGTGTTAGTCTATGAGAGCTGCTTAGACAAGGTTACAAGGCAGGTTACAAAATTAACCTACAAAAGTTTGTAGCCTTTCTATATGCCAATAAAAAGCAATCAGGGAAAGAGCACACGGAAACATTCCCCTTCACAATAGCTGCAAAATATATATATATATATATAAACTTGACCAAAGACATTAAAGACCTCTACAATGAAAATTTTAAATCTTTAAAGAAAGAGACTGAGGAAGACATCAGAAGAACTTTAAATTTTTAAAGAAAGAGATAGAGGAAGACACCAGGAGATGGAAGGACCTCCAGTGCTCATAGATTGGTAGAATTTACTGTGAAAATGACCATCCTACCAAAAATAATCTATAGATTCAAAGCAATGCCTATCAAAATTCCCATGACATATTTCAGAGCTAGAAAAAAAATCCTAAAATTCATATGCAATCACAAAAGACCCCAGATAGCCAAGGCAATCTTGATCAAAAAGAGCAATGCTAGCGGGACCACCATACGAGATCTGGAACTATATTACAGAGCTATGGTGATTAAAACAGCATGTTTTACTGGCATGAAAACAGACATGTAGATCAATGGAACATAACAGAAGACCCAAACTTGAGTGCCTGCAGTTTCAGCCACCTGATATTTGACAAAGGTGCCAAGAACACACACTGAAGGAAAGACAGCATCTTCAACAAATAGTGCTGGCAAAAGTGGATCTCCATTGTAGACCAATGAATTGGACTTTTATCTTTCATCCTGCACAAAAGTCAAATGGATCAAAGACCTCAGTATAAAACTGCTAGAAGAAAACATAGGCAGTACTCTACAAGATATAAGTATAAGAAAGAACTTTCTAAATCAGACATCAGTTGCTCAGGCATTAAGGTCAACAATTGACAAGTGGAACCTCATTAAACTAAAACGTTTCTGTACAGCAAAAGGAAACAATGAAGGAAATGAAGAGGAAACCCACTGAGTGAGAGAAAATCTTCACTTACTGCACATCCGACAGAGGATTAATATCCAGAATATAGAAGAACGCAATAAACAAAGAAACAAGAAAATAAACTACCCAATAAAAAGATGGACTATAGGCCTGAACAGAGAGTCCTCAAATGCAGAAATAAAAATGGCTAAGAAACGCCTTTAAAAGTGCTCAACATCCTTAGTAATTACAGAAATGCAAATAAAAAAACACTTTAAGATTTTATCTTACCCCAGTCAGACTGGCTAAGATCAGGAGAATGAAAGACATCAAACGCTGGTGAAGTTGTGGAGAAAAGGGGATTCTCATTCACTGCTGGTGGGAAGGCAAACTCATGCAGCCCCTATGAAAAGCAGTATGGAGAACTCTGAAAAAACTAAAAATGAACCTACCATTTGACCCAGTTATACCACTCCTTGGCATAGACCCAAAGGGCTCATCCTATTGCAGAGACACTTGTACAACCATGTTTGTTGCTGCTCTTTTCACAATAGCTAAGAGATGGAAGCAACCTAAATGTCCTGT